AACAGTGTGCTCCCGTTTCCAACCCCAAGTGACAGCCAATCCCCATAATTATTCCCCTTGACCAGATGAACTGAAACCTTCTTGTTTTACTGAACTATTTTTATAACTCTTACGGTCTTTGGTTGGACATTTTGATTTTGCGGTTGCTCGCCGTCGATATCTGTTTGGTTGTGACGATATCGATTTTGAGGCGTGGTGATCTGCGCTTTATCCTCAGGCTGGTAATTGTACCTCCTTATTTTTGTAACCCTACAGTATCTGCAGAGGAGAATCCGTTGAGTACCGTGATTCCAGAATTCGGATTTCTTGGTCGTTTTCCTGGATTGGCACGCGTGACTCAAACTCAGAAAGCAGATAGCCGTAACAGCCCCTTTGAAGCCCGACTATTCACGCGCCAACTTTGCTCCTCGCGGCAGTATATTGTCTTAAATCGACGACAAACACCGAAGCCCTCAGGCCCCTTCGTGAATGGCCATTCACTACTCCCAACAACGAGCAAACCTCTACCCTACAAGGCTTATTCCCGCAGGATTTCTACAGTGTCGCTGACACTAATAGGGCCAACCGGTTATGAACGTCCATCTCTGCCTCTTGAGGCCTGGTTACAACCAAGTCAGCCAAAGGACCCCATGCAGAAGCAATCGTTTTCTCAATCACTTTAGTTCCGATACGAGCATAAAGATATGCTTGATATTCAGCCCCCCACTCCCCACGAGAATAACTGGTACCGCCATCCAGAGAAGTCAAGACAAAGTCATAAAAGTTCCTCTTATATTTATTTCCTTAGGTAAACCATCCATCTGGTATTAGGAAGTTTCAGTCACCCAAAAGGAACTGATGCCCGTCGTCAGACCACTGCGCTGGCTTCTCCCTGCCCAGCCATACAAAACCACATCACCAACACAGCATCAAGATTGCCTTCGCCTGGCAATATTTCTAATTAGCTTGTGGCCAGCAATTGTGAAATTAATCACTGTGAATTTGAGATATTAGAAGTGAGTACAACTCCCTCGCCGCTCAACTACGACATCCTTCCGTGAGATCTTTGTTGCTGCTGGTACCATATCGCAATGACCACTAACCCAGGCCTCACATACTACCATGTTGTTTGCTTTGGTACAAAAATTTACCCCAGATTGATGAACCGGTACTTCCCGAACCACCTCTCAGAAGGCGATCATGCAGCCGAATGAATTTTCACATCGCCAAGGTGTGTTTCAGTTTCATCAGAACACACACCATCTTCTAAGCGGCAGAAGAGGAGAGGAAGTATAGATGAAGGGTGAGATGTTAGTTTGAGTATTTGTTTGAGAGAGATAAACTATTAAGATTCTTTAGCCCCGATCTTTGACAGTAGCTGCTACAAACGCCCTTGATGCTCGCTACCCACCCCGTCTTTAATCCACATAGACCTCAAGCTGAACTGACTTAGCCTATGATCCTGCGTTGGCCTTCTTCTGCCTGTGTGAATCCCCTTGACTAAGCCAAAATTCTGCTGCCCACAGAATTTCACACCCCCAATCCGATACCCTCAAACATGGCGCTCGCTGTAAGGCTGACGTGACATTGCCCTACCTACTCTGACGGAACACCTGCGACTATTTTATCCGTAATCTGGACCGCATCCTCTTGCCCTATCGGTACCCTAGCGGCAGGTAAGGACAAACTGTTTATCCGGGCTCAACATCATCTGAGGCGAGTTCGTCATAATCCACCCGACCGCCCATCTCACTTCACTTTCAGTTTGTTTCCCCCAAGTTCTGTCCTGAGCGTTATCAAAACTTCACTCCTCCACAGAACTTTTACGCACTACTCCGGTCAAGCAGCGATACCAGTGAATCGTCACAGCAACACTGTACATCGTCATTCTGCGACTGAAGCTACCAATTACCTGTAGTGTAATTTCTCCCGCTCCATCATCACCACATTCGATTTTCATGACCCTGGCCGTAAACGCCACTGTTCAAGACCGTACGGCCCCAGCAGGTATTTTTAATTGAAAATGGCCGGCAGATCACTCACTTACTGTTGCTTAACCAGATTCGTTGTTCTGGTTGATTATTTTCCAGCAATTTACAGTCTGCTACCCCGTGCCACGCAGGTTCCCCTGTTTTCATTTCCCTCTGCTATTTTGTTGCTTGCCATCTTCAAATCGTAACGGTAAGATTCTGTTTCAATTTTATATGTTCCCTAAGAGATAAATAGCCCCATTAACCGTGTTCCTGCGCCTCCACCACAGCAGCAGCAGTATACATATCACCCCATCTGCATCGGATGATCCCCATTATTCGTCTGACTGCACCGCTTCCGTTCGTTCCCGAACATTCACAACAGATACCATTGATGTATTATCACTATCATTATCATTCTATTCGTGACACCGTTATAATGTCTGACGTAATGTTTCCCACCAACGGTGAATAAACATTACCAATTATTAAAAAGCCCCTAGGTGGAGCGTTGAATGCCCAAATGAAAAGTATCTCCGTGGGTATGCTAATAAGGAGTCTGCTATCTATTTAGAATGATGGCTTAAGGCCATGAACAGGCCAGCCTAGCGCAGCCCAAGAGGACATCGACACCTGCACCGCCCGGCAAAAATAATCTTACCATTTTCTCCCACAAAACTTATCATAAATGTCCCAAATACATATTCAAACCACCCCTCATTTCAGTTTGCGGGCGTTTTCTATGCTTACAGCTGCTCCGATAAGGGCAAGTTCCCTTCACCACTCACCTTACTGCTCACAACCTGTTTCCCCTACTGTCCATTTTCTCTCAATGCCGTTTCAGTACAGGGCGCAAGGAACCCACAACAGCCTTTACTATAGTGTAAGGAGATCTGGTGATTTCTGATTGAGCTTTTATCCCGTGAGTGAGAGTAGGATATGACGGAAGGCCAGAAGCACTGCTCGGCTGCTCCAATCTTAATTGAAAATACTAGCAATGTTCGCTTCGGGGAACAATTAGTTGATTGGCTCAAGCTGCCGGTTCGCTGCTCTTGGCAGAAGGGTCGAGATTGCGGCCCGCGGCATTGCGGGGTGTTCACGCCCGATAAGCCTTTATAGAGATAAAACAGCTGACGATTACCAATTCTCTTATTTCCATCTCAAGGAGACCCAACCTTTGAATGGTGCGACGGCTTTTTCAGGCGTAAACACCCTGGAAGTATCCCAGTCCATACAACCACTGGGCATACAGCTAAGAGTGCCTTTGCGACACGTCAGCCGTCACATGACAAAACTTATGCGCCCCGTGCAGCAGAGTGGATAAGCAAAAAGGTGTTTGCGAGCAGTCGCCCACCTTTCTTCGCCTTGATCCATTAACATTTGTGCTGCCCCGCATAACAATCGCCCTCAAGTGGCCATCAGTGCCAGGATCTTGGTCAGGCAACTGCAAAATCTATGCTTCGCGTCGCACCACTCAGATCCATTTCTCCGCGTGCACAGTTGACGCCTTATGCTCCTATTTTTGAGGCCTTCAAAATAAGAACACTTCAGCAACTCACCCGACGAGCAGATTTTGTGCATGCTACTTTGTTGGGTGGCATCTTTTGTATCTGTGGAAGTCAAATGCAGAATCCGAGAAGAGTTGTTGAGTTTATGGCACCCAGTGTATTCATACGCTACGGCCCGCATATTATTAGTGATTTCGAAGCAAATGTTACGGGATGCACATGTGTTGCAAGTGCATATTATTGACTGCTTAAGCTTCATTTCTTCACCGGACATCCGTAAATTCTTCGATCTACTGTTCCACTTTATGTAATGACAAGAACCTGTTCTAGTCGAAGTAATTGATGTAGTTGTTAATCGTGCTTATCCATGCATCAAAAAGTCGTAGCAGTTAGTAAATGAGGGATACGTTTACCGTTAACCGACTACCCCATTTTTGTCTGGTCCGAACAATGATGGTGGTGAAATTGGTGATGAAAATGGTGAACGTCTCCATAGCATTGTACTAACCACTAGTTGAATGTAATCAATAATTGGTTTGGACGCATCTGGTTTCGCCAATCAGCGTTTGAGTCAAAATGATCACATATTGCTAGGTGAAGACTCTATTTAATCCATGACAAAAGATCTCTTCGGGGCACGTAATTTGTAAAGAGCACCCACTGGTTTGCTACAGATTTTCAAAAAAGTCGCTAGACATTCCTAAAAAAACACCCTATTCAGTAATGAAGTATCTTTATAAGTTGATTTTAGAGAAAAACACCGTAGCCTAATACGCAGTTCTCCAAAAGTGGACTCTTTGTGGACCATAAGCATGAGCCTTGGCNCCCAAAACTTCACCCTGTTCCTTATGAGCAGAAATTCGCCGCTGTATTTCTGAATGGCCTCTAGATATTGTGGTAAGGAGCTTTATTCCTTCTGGTTGAAGGTACGGTTGGGCTAGATGGCTGAAGCAACAACAACCAGAGCGCAACATGTGTGTCTACGTATATATGGCGAACAGATGGCGAAACAGGAGCAGAGGCTAGTTTGACCGGGAAGACTTTGAAAATGTCATAGCAAACAAATAAACAAGGCCCCTTAGAAGTTATTTTAAAATATAACATTTAAAATCTGACACATAGCAAGGACCAGATTATGGATCGCTTTGGCCGCGTATTTGGAATTAAAATATGTTCCAGAAAAACTAAGGCCAATTGTTATTACTTCTTTTAGCCAGGCATGTTCTCAAACCAAATTTTCCAACCGCTGGTGTGTTGAGCACACACCTGCTGCTACCGGCTCTCGCTTTATTGCAGTACACACCTTCGGCACCTCAAGTGGTAACCCGGAATCGTCATGTCGGATTCCGACCCAGCGGAGTGCGTTTTGATTATTTTTGCATTGCGTTGAGTGTTTGTACAGATCCATGCGCAAAATTGACCAGCAATCAAAGACTTCCTTGACCTCAAAATAGTATCCTCAGTTGACAGATCATGCAGAAAGTGATATTGATTTGTTATATATTTTAGTGACCATTATTCCCATGCCTATGTCAGTTATCATGTACAGTGAGCTGTACGGAAGCTTAGTGCTAACAAGGAGATTTAGTTCGTTCAGTTTTTTAGCAACTTACTCGTGGGGCACATACTCAAGAGAACCACGTATCTAGATGTGTAAACAAACTCAGAGGTTGACCGGAGGAAAGGAAAATGCAGATGGCGTATGTTTGTAGGCTGACAGTCATTTTTTCGCGCGAAGTGGCGCACAAGATTTTTTGACCGGACAGCCTAGCCAAGGTTTGTATGTGGTTGCGCGATGAGCCAATGTCCGGTTAGGTTCCCAGAAAAGACCGTGTTGACCCCATCTTTGGCACCTTAAATATCATGCCTAGAGGTGTTTAGTTCAAAATTGCACCTTTATGCTGGCCGTTTTTCATAAATGTGTAAAACTTCTTCATCGTATCTCGCAATTTTTTGTTTCAATTCTTTTTCGGGGCCTCCTTTCCCCGTGATTGCATCGACATTTGGACCATCATATTATGGTCCGATTCTGCCCGTGGTTATTATGATGAAGCAGCTGTACAATTCTCTTTAGTTTTTAGGACTAAATGTCAATGGAATATACATTAGAATTACTTCGGTAGTATGTATGAATGTCCCACATTTTATGGTGATACTAGATATATCTTTCTGTAAACCACCCAGTAATTTAGCGGGTGCCAGACTTTCACATGCCACTAGCTCCACGAGGACAAAGGCAGCGGTTTACTGAAACAGACGACCCGATTCTGTGATCACACGCTGCGGCCCGCCAAATCTAGTCAACTAGGTATTATTCCCGCATTAAATCTTGTTGAACCGGTCGAAACCAGTAAAAATTGTAATTGCGCATATGAATGCATGCACTTGGGCAAGAAATGTTAAGGCTATGATGGAAATGAAAATGAATACTGTGGGGTCGATAGTCGCAGGTAAGTGTCAGTCGCAAGTGGGAAGAAGTAATACCGAGAAGGGCCTTATGAAATGTACTGGGCCGATGAACTCTGGACGATTACCTCATAAAGAAACAGTTACTAGTGGGAAACACATTCTGCGCCGGACCAAAGGCTACGTAATATAAGTCGGCAGTATAACTGAGGTGTTTGCCTTGGCAGCTATTTCCGAGTGGATAAAAATTCGGATTAGATATTTGTCCTGGCTGAAAAGACCGCTGGTCGAATAAGCGTTCCAACTGATGTTATGTTGGACATTCTGCATAATCAGAATTCACCGATGATTTCAATTGGCAAGAGACGAAAAGCTAGCCTCAAAACTTGCACCGACAAGTAGAAGCAGGGTACGGTCAGAAAGGCACGACGATGTCACCTCGATTAGTGATGAAACGTTTGCAATCCACCCACCAAGCTCAGCAAACAAACTTCTCCCTCTTTTTATGTATCTTGATCAGTTAAAAATCTAACTGTGCCTACTCATTGCGTTTAAAATAATACATCATCTAAGTAACCTTTTATCGGCACAGAGAGATTTTACGTCAAAGCTTTGAGCTTTCGGGAACTAGCACAAGATTTTCCCACGTTTTGGACCATTTGCGCGGCTGGTGTCAATCCAGGTTATCAGGGGGAGGAAATGTTTCGGCGTCTTTTTTATAACTCAAGACCTCCCACCGGACTACTTCTGATAGCTTAAGCTCCACCTTACACGAGGCTTCTGCTCCCTGATCGCACATCGGTTTGACCACCCAAGTCCATCTATCGATTCATTTTTTAAACAAAAGCTACAAAAAATGGCACATGGAGTGTTCAGTTAGCCGTGAGACACTTGGATTTACTTTCCCACACCAACATACCCAGACGAACAGCAAATTCAAACCTCAAACATATTTTCGTGCCCCAAATCCATCAACACGTCACTTCGCAGATCGTAACCCTAATCCGATGGCTGAAAAGTTTGAGAAATGCGAGTCTTGTGGACGAAACCATTCCAGATATTCATGCCCCCACAGACGAGCGGAGCGTTTCATCTGCGGTAAAACAGGACACATCCAACTTGTCTGTAAGTCGAAGAAAGTGTCACTTAACTTCTGACCCAAAAACTGATGTGAAGGCATTATCTGAAGATATTTCTACTCTTGTTCTATCCGTTTTGTTCCAAAATGCGTTTTTACAACGTTGATATCCGCTTTTGGTCAAAGGCATGACTTTATTGTTGATACTGGTAGTGTTGAATCCATCATTCCACAATCAGCTCTAACCGCATTCTAACTCAGTGCCGTGATAGTGCCTACAGATGATAACATTCGCGGTATCACTGGACATTCTGTACCTTTATTTGGTCGTTGCACGATCCCTGTGAGGTTACCCTAAGGTACCTCTATCGATTGTAATTTCTTGGTTTCAACGTCGGGACCATCGATTATCGGACTCAAATTTCTACACTCACTGCAAACCATTATCACCTTACTGACTTCTGTGAATGAGAATGAACTCAAACAACTGATTCTGAAATGTTCTAAGGATACAGGTGGCATGCAAATTCCCAAGGTGAGGCTCGAAGTTACAGGAGAGCCCATACTTCTTAAGAGACGGATTATTCCATTTGGCTTACGCGAGACTGTTCGTCAAGCAATAAATTCAATGTGTGCGAGAGGAATTCTGACTCCTGTCGAGTCATCAACTTGGGCAACTTTGATAGTTACCCTACTGAAGGCTGATGGTATTACCCAAGAATTTGTGGTGGCTACAGGCTGGCGCTAAATACGCGGCTACTACAACGTACATGCACCACTGAAGAGCCAGAAGATGTACTGTATCGTTTATCAGGTTCATGTGTGTTTTCAAAAATCGATCTAAAAGATGCTTATCTTCAAATACCACTGGACGAAGCCTCCAGTAACCCTACCGTGATCAACACACCCTTTGGGTTATTCCGACACAATTTCCTTCCCTTTGGTTTGAACGTTTCACCAGCTGTATTTCAGCAAGTTATGAATATTATTGCAAAAGATTTGGAGGGTGTTGAGACGTACCAATATGACGTCATTGTGCACGCTGCTGACAAAGCTACCCATGATATGCGTCTGTTGTCTTTACTGAAGAGATTTTCTGAGTTCAATGTAGCTATTCATCCTGATAAACGCACTTTTGGTGTCCGATCATTTTCATGCCTTGGCTACATTGTGGATGGCAGCGGTTTTAAACCTGATACAAGACGTCTATCCCCTTTGGTTAATGCGCCATCACCGACCAGTCTACAAGAACTGCGTTCAGTTCTAGGAGCACTCCAGTATTACTCCCGTTTCATTCCTAATTTCGCCAAACACGCAAGTTTTCTGTTTGATGTCATATCTTCCTATCAATTTTCTTGGTCCTCCAACCATGAAAAGACGTTGCGTGCAGTGCCCTTGAACAGTGTGGTAGACCAGTGATCTGCATTTTCCGTCGACTTTCAAAAGCCAAACGTGGATATTCTCAGACTCAACGAGATGCACTTGCTGTATATTGGGGTGTCAAACGGCTCCATAAATATCATTTTGGATCGAACTTTACCACTGCTACTGATCACGAGGCTTTGAAGTTCTTGTATCATCCAACAAAGTCTCTGGCGAAGTCATCTGTCACGATGGTGCAACTGTGGATTATCGCACTGAGTTCTTACACCTACACAGTGTTTCATCGTAGTGCGAAAATTATTCCTCGTGTTGGTTTCTTGTCAAGAATTCCATCATGCAACCCTGATTCAAACAACTCAGATTGTCTGTCTGTTCAACCATTACCAGTCAAGCGGGATGTGCTTGTTGCTGACACTAAAAGGTATTTCGCTCCCATTTTCTCTGCACTGCGACGTGGCTGGACGCAGCAAGAACGACGCCGATTTCCTGCTTTCTATTGTCGCCGCGAAAGCTTATCCGTTACTCCGGGTGGTTTGCTGTGTTTTGAGGATAGAGTTGTCATTCCACCAACTCAGCGAGCGGCTGTTCTTGCATATTTACACTCTGGTCATCTGGGTGTCGATAAAATGAAATCCCTTGCACGCTTGTCATGCTGGTGGCCGGAACTGGATGCTGATATCAAGCATACTGCTAAGAATTGTGTTAAGTTTGTACATAAGAGTCATAACAAGTCTTCACAGTGGCATCCGTGGCCAGTTACTTGTGCAGCATTTCAACGAGTTCATGCTGACTACTGTGATCCTTTTCTCGGTAAATACTATGCTTTGGTCGTTATTGACGCATATTCACGTTGGCCTGCAGTTCTTCTAACTACGTCTCCAAGTGCCGAATTCACTCAGCAGGCATTAGGGAAAAGTATTCACCATGAAGGTGTACCTACTGTTTTGGTCACTGATAACGGCACACACTTCACTGCAAAATTCCTCGAGGAATGGTCAAAGGGGCTTGGATCTCGACATCTGTTTACCGCCCCGGTCGAATGGACTTGCTCAAAATTTTGTCCGAACACTAAAGTCTGCCATTATTTCACTCGGTCCTACTACGTTTGTGGAATTGGACCGTGGGCTTGATACTTTTCTAATGCAATACAGGAACACCGTTCATTCCGTTACTGGAAAGATTCCCGCGCTTCTATTTAAACCTCGTTCGTTGCTACAAGTCTTGACTGTGCCAAAACGGCTGATGTTACATTTTTCAAGGGTAATGATTTACGACCTGCCACTGGAATACTACTTTCATCAAATGGCAAACGGATGGTCACAATTCTCGATTTGGATGATCTCACTTGCCACCGGAGACACATTGACCAGTTTGCGTTCAATACCAGAGGTCAGTCTGTTAACGGCACTCCTGCTGTTTGAAATACTAATGAGTCCTTTATAGATGATCTTGTGGTATCCGAACAAAACGTTGTATCTGAAGAACGCACTACCTCTGAAGAATCTGAAGTTCCCATTCCGAGACGATCCGAAAGGTTGCGGTCAAGACCACCACTGGAATATAGACATCCACACGCTCATTCAAGGCGTGGCGGATGTGATGAACATGACTGCAACTCT